AGCACAAATGATCACCCCGCTGGGAAACTCGTAACAGCTAGCAATTGCCTGAACCTCTTCCCCACCAATCTCACTAACGTCAACATCAGGATAGACCAACTACTGAGTATCATGGTAGGAAGTGGATCTTCTAGCCATGGAAGTAGAATACGAAAGGTTTCAACACCAAGGAGAGAATCTTAAGTTAAAAATCAGGAATAGGTGGAAAGCCTTCAGCACCAAAGTACAAGGTTTATTCATAGAGGGACTTATTTATAAAGGAAACAAGCAGGCACACGTCATGTCTGCAAGATGTCATTAACGCGCATCAGTCACATTTAAGGTGGTAGACATGGCAGTCATGGAAAAATAGGCGCTACTTTTGAGGAATCACTACCACCACTGGAGGCGCACATTCCCTACCAAACGAAACTGTCAAGATTGGAGTACACGAAAAGGAATGGGAAAGGTCCAAAATAACCCCAACTGGCTTAGTCAGCTTGGTAAATGGATCACCCTGTTCCTGTCCAAATTAGAATTATCCTCAAAAAATGACATCATGATCACAGATTAATACCACCAAAGTTGGTGGTAAGCCATATGGGAACACAGCCCAAAGTGGGCATTATTGCCCACTAGTGTCGAAAGAAGCAAAATGAACAACAACACACACACGAGGAAGAAAATACTAGCAAGCAGTAAGATACATTGAGTTGTCATTAAATAGAGAAAAAAGTGTACATGAAGGAAATGTCAAAAATTACATCACAAAAAGAAGGGATGGCAACAATCCAAAACAAAAATCATATGGCGGGCTCCTCGCCCCCACCAACCACCTCAGCGATAGGCCCCTTATGAGCACCGACCACCTCGGCACCTGTCTCCTGACCTGCACCCGCGGGGCTAGTAGCAGCTTTCTCGCCCATGCCAACTGGTCCAACAGTAACCCCCATAGCCGTATCCGTTGTTTTCTTGGCCTCAAGTTGTGGCATGAAGGAATCAAGGTCGAGGTCGGGATAAACATTCTCTTTAAGGAGCTCGATGACTTTAGCCTTCAGGGACGCTGTTTTGGCATTCTTCGTCGCTAGCTCGTCATCCTTAGTTTTCAACTGGGTATACTTTAGCTTAGTAAAATCTTGATGGCGACAGTTCAGGTCATCGTAAATTCTCTTCAACTCAGCTACCTCAGTAGCCAAGATCGCCACCTTTCCTTTAGCAATGTCCTTCCTAGCCTTTATGGCCTCGGCATCATTCCTCGCCTTTACCACCTTCTGCTCCTTTGCGAACAGCTGAGCCACGGGCTGCTCATGATGGAACTCCATCATCTTTACGCAAGCAAGCGATTGACAAAAAAAAAATTAGTCAACACGAGCACGAGACAAAGATGCTCCAGAAAGACCATTCCGGTGAAAAAAAAAAAGGGAAAAAACATAAGGTACCTCAACTAGGCCCTGGATGGCGTACTTAGTTTTCCTCTTAAAGGTAACTTGTAAGGTCATTTCAGGGTTCGATGTTGGGACAAGTTCAGCCACGGCAGCCTCGGGATCGCGGAGGTACCCACTCCCCTGAGCAATTGACTTGGGAAAAACTAGGTTCCCCTTTTCCAACCTTTTGCAAAGTCGACTGTTGGAGAACAAGAGGAACTACCGAGTTAGTAGACCGCTCAGGCGAAGCCTTGGTCTTAGGAGGCTCGAGGGCATAGAAGACAAGACGGCACCCTCAAGGAAGGCTAGGTCTTTGCATTTCTGCTCTAGAGAGGCGAACGTCTACCCCTCCTTTGAGAGCAGCTCAAAACTCTTTACCAATTTTCTTCTTGACCTCATCTTCTCAGCATCAGAGAAAGCCGCCATAATAAGGTCAGGGTCCATTGGTTCAAGCATGGGGGCAGGCAAAGGTTCTGGATCGATAGCAGAGTGCCCGTTCACTAAGGACCCAAGCTTGTATTTTGCAAGATTCTCTCCAGTCACCAAATCCAAGAAAGACTTTAAACCAAAAGCTTTTGTCTTAGCCATTCTAACAGCCTTCGCGATGTCAAGAGCTAGACAAAATCTTACAGATCATGTCGCGAGTTAATATGACAACCATGAGTAAAAGACTTTGATAACAAATATGTAAAGAAAATCATAGCCAGCTGATTGGTCTTACGGGTGTTCCTCGGGATCCCCCAGAACTGAGGAATACGAGGGACGTCGTTAGGCACTCCTGACAATTCCTAGGAATCACCTTCAATAAAGAAGAACCTTGATTTTCACCCCGTATTGGAAGACGGGAGCCCAAAAATAAGAGTTTTTGCCTTCACTCTCTTAGCAAAGTATAGGAAGCCCAATAAAGGAGAGGACTTGAGCTGAAAAATGGAGGTAAATTCACAAATAGTGGACGGAGAGTTATTTCCACTGTCTAACCAGTGGATGAGGAAGTTGACCAAAAGACCCCAGTAGTTCGAAGACATTTGAGCCGGGCAGACATTGTAAAAGGCAAGAATATCCCGAATAAAAGAGTGTACAGAAAACCGGAGGCTGGCACGAAAAGATGACTCAAAAAGGTAAGTCATTCCAAAGATAGAGGAATTGCACCTCTTGTCCTCCTCAGGAGAATGTAGTGACACAGACTCCGGAAAGGAATATTTCTTCCGCAGATCTTCAATTTGATTGTAGAGCCATATGCAACGCACAAAAGATGCATGTACGATTGTTCAATTCCTCCTCGTCGAGGGGCTGGGATCAAAACCTCTAGAATTGGCCCTTAGACCTCCTCGACGAGCTCCCTAAGAAGGAACTCAAAATATTCCGCTAAGATAGTGAAAATCGATCATCGTTAGCCGACATATCACCAACGGTGGGGGCTTCCTCCCTTCTTAGGAGAGAGGACGCCTCCTCCTCAAAGCGGCCACTAGAAGAAGCCGCTGAGACTTCCTCAGCGCCCTCATCAATCTCTTCCTTGAACTCAGAATCAACAAAAGAATCAGAAACTGTCCTACCTATTATTGGCCCAAATTGCAAACTAGAATGCAAAGAGGGCATATGTAAGGAGCAATCTGTCAAGAATAGGGGGTTTAGACACCAAGTCCTAAGTAAGGATAACATCAACACAAGAGAATAATCGACGAATTGGGAAAGGGAAGAAAAATTACCAAAGTGGTTTCGAAAATAGCTAAATTTTCAAACAAGGAAACGAAACCTGAAACCCCACCAGGAGGGTTAAAGGGATCCAGATCAAAGAAAAGAAGGAGGAAAAAAGGGACGTACCTAACCAAAAGCTAGAGTTGAAGCGCGAAAGAACGAAAAACACAGAAACCTTAGGTCACCAAAGCACTTTAAACGGCTACCTCAAAACCCAAAAGAATAAAGAAGGAACACGAAGAGCTGAGAATTCAAAATACGAGTGGGAAAGACAGAGAAGTTTTCCCCCTTTTATATATATAGCATTTATTACCACGATGGGACGTGTAGTAAGACGTGCAGAGAAAGCCGTATTAAGGGACCGTCCTACAGGCGACACACGTTTCCCCTTAAGCACATCTGTCACATCAAAGCTGGCATAGGTTAACCTAACATGTACTAGGGCAGCACCAGCGATCGTGCGAAGCCGTCATCCAGAGAAACAGTCTTGGTCCCAAAAATGACATATTTAACCCCATATCAGAGCTTGATGTAACCCTCATGGCCTGGGGCTGGGGGCAATTGATAATAGTGGGATTTCGGCATGGGCCACCCATCCAAGGTCCTGAGCGTTTAATGGGCCCCTGTGTGCATGGTGGCCCAAATTGCTCATCCATAGCCTGCCCACCCTGTAGTTAGGATGGGCCGCACCCCGAAGAAGGAAGTCCAACAGCATCCAGACGGATAAGTCTGAGCACAGCCTCCGTCCAGCTCAGCAGAAATCAAAACAAGAAAAAGGAGCTCGGCGCCCTTTAGATCCTAAACAACACCCGTCGCGTCACGTGTCCAGGGGACAGGTGGACAACTTTTGGAGCCTTTAAGAAACGCATAATCTCTGACAAAGGGAATATTTGTGCATATACCGTTTAAGGATCGTGAGCACAATGACTTTAGATGGCAGGCATCACTACAGGACAAAAAAAGAGGGGACCGTAGAATCAACCAAAAGAAGGAAAAAAACGCTAGAAACCCTAGATGAATTACTTATATAAATAGAACACTATCACACAGTGTAAAGGGGATTCTAGAAAATCTGCATTCACAAAACACTCTAGAAAGGGGCTCTCAACCAAATAACCTACTGTAACCTTCTTCTTCAAGAAATATAAATCCCTGAGGAATAAGAGACTTCATTGCAGTGGATGTAGTCTTGGTCATTCGACCAAGGTGAACCATTTACACACTATTTTTTATCCGTTTTCATAGCTTACTCCTCTATTAATTTAAACATTCATATTACCTCTCTCTTTGGGCCTCATAACCATTATTCTGCTTTTGGGCTAAGCATTTTCGAGCACTATCAATTTCTTTGGCCAAGAGCAGCGATCGCCTGTTCACATTCAGCCTCGATGGCATCATTATCGAGCTATTCTGCATTAATCAATTCTTCACGAAGATTGTCAGAAGAATTGGTATACGGTGGTGCTCCGCCATTGGTGGTTGTGTTCTTAGCCATCGATGATGTTTTGGAGTATGAAGGACTGTTCTGCTTCTTCTTAGGTCCCATTGGATGTTGACTCTCAAAAAGAATTGATTTGCAATTTACGCGAACATGTAAACAAGAGAGAGAGAGGTGATCGGAGTCGATGGTGATTCTTAATTTCTTGGTGTCAGAGTGAATGATGAAGGCCAACTGTCATAATAGAATAATCAGTGGAAAGTGAGTTGAGATTGTTAAAGGCTCGTGCGGACGAAGATATGAAGAGACTATACGACAAATGACATTAAAATTTTTAATTACACCCTCAATCTCATCAATTGATAGCAATGCAACCTAAAAGCTAATTAATCCCCCTTCTTCACATTCTCATGGATCCACTTCCCCTGTTCAAGTGCCCCTAAAATGGGCACAAGCCTTAAAATTCAGCAGCTCCATTCCAGATACCAACATACCCTAAAAAAATTTCCAACCTTCCAAAGCCAAACCACGTCGACATACCCACTAATAAGTACATTGCACTGAACAACATCTCTGTTAGGTATTTCACCAAACAGCTTCCGAGCATCCTCCAAAACTTGACACTTTGCAGAGAATCGGATTAACGGCCCTAAATGACCATCCGCTAAAGCCAAACCATTTTTGACTACCCAATTGTGCATTTGCTCTCCCGCAACCACCAACAAGGCATTACCACAAGCAATGAGGACGAATGGAATCGTGTGGTGATCGGGACATAATATGTGGCTGTGCAGCATGAGATGGAAGTAATGGACAAGAACAAAGAGCGCCCATCCGTTCACATTCATCATTGACCGCAACATTTTGAAGTTATTCTGCATTAATTTGTTCTTGAAGGAGATTTGAAGAATTGGTATTCAGTGGTTCTCTGCTACTGGTGGTTACGTCCTATGTACTTATTAAGGTTTTTGATGTGATCAACAATGGCAGCGTGATGTTTGGAAATCACTTTTTGTGGTGGCATAGCTCCAATTCTCCTTCTCAGCACATATTGCTGCATTTATAGTTGCAAGAACCTCAGCTATGACTTTTAAAAGTGCTAGGCTCTTAGAAGGTTCATGCTCCTCAAAGTAGGTAGATTATATTTCCTATTATCTTTTGTTTTTTGTTTTGGGTAAGTTCTATTCCCTATTTTCTATTGTGTTGTGTTAAACGATTTTGTACGTAACAATGTTTCGTCAAACGGTTGTGTATATATCAGACAGGGCTTAATAGAGTAATAGAAATACAATATCCAGCACTGGCTTGACTGTCTCTTTATCAGCCTCATGGTAAGAAAGCCTGCATCAATAATTACCTTCTTACATAACCCTGAAATTGAACTAATTACATGGAAAACACCCCTACACGCAAACACACAAACACGCAACAAGAGAGAGAGAGATGAAATGGTAATCATTCATTATGTTTCCCACTTATTATCAGCTGCAGTATATTTTTATTAAAGAATCAGCCAGATAAGCTTCTCCAGCACATCCCTGCTAAGCAACCTCAATTGGAACAATGCCTTGACCTACTTGCCACATACATACATACAAGGGCATAGAAACAAAATTACACGATTGGGCTTCCTTGTGGAAACAATGCCAAACTTTCAGCTGGTCCTTTATGAACACAGAAAAAACAACAAAAAGAGAAGAAAAAATGGGGGAAAAAACCTCTTTCAATGATGGGTTGTTTGAACAAATTGTTTGCTTCCTCCTCCCTCCATTCTCCTCATAATTGGCTTTGTAGCACAACTCAAAGAATATATCCACAAGCAAATCTAATTTACAGCTTCAAAGAAAAGGACCTCAGGTTGTATGTAACCTTTTCCACACGTGCAAAGGACATCATCCCAACTCCCAATAACCTATTGGAATCAAATAAAAATTACACAGCCACTGTTAGATACTGTAAATAGATGCAATCCAGGAACCAAAGTGAATGTACCTTCACATTCTTGTCCTCAAACATAATCCATCTTTCATGCTCATGGTTGTAAGCAAAGCAGATGAAGTGAGGCCCATAGTAGCAAACCTAAATACAAGAGAGATATTAGTAAAAATGAAAAACGGGCCTTGGAANTTATATTTCCTATTATCTTTTGTTTTTTGTTTTGGGTAAGTTCTATTCCCTATTTTCTATTGTGTTGTGTTAAACGATTTTGTACGTAACAATGTTTCGTCAAACGGTTGTGTATATATCAGACAGGGCTTAATAGAGTAATAGAAATACAATATCCAGCACTGGCTTGACTGTCTCTTTATCAGCCTCATGGTAAGAAAGCCTGCATCAATAATTACCTTCTTACATAACCCTGAAATTGAACTAATTACATGGAAAACACCCCTACACGCAAACACACAAACACGCAACAAGAGAGAGAGAGATGAAATGGTAATCATTCATTATGTTTCCCACTTATTATCAGCTGCAGTATATTTTTATTAAAGAATCAGCCAGATAAGCTTCTCCAGCACATCCCTGCTAAGCAACCTCAATTGGAACAATGCCTTGACCTACTTGCCACATACATACATACAAGGGCATAGAAACAAAATTACACGATTGGGCTTCCTTGTGGAAACAATGCCAAACTTTCAGCTGGTCCTTTATGAACACAGAAAAAACAACAAAAAGAGAAGAAAAAATGGGGGAAAAAACCTCTTTCAATGATGGGTTGTTTGAACAAATTGTTTGCTTCCTCCTCCCTCCATTCTCCTCATAATTGGCTTTGTAGCACAACTCAAAGAATATATCCACAAGCAAATCTAATTTACAGCTTCAAAGAAAAGGACCTCAGGTTGTATGTAACCTTTTCCACACGTGCAAAGGACATCATCCCAACTCCCAATAACCTATTGGAATCAAATAAAAATTACACAGCCACTGTTAGATACTGTAAATAGATGCAATCCAGGAACCAAAGTGAATGTACCTTCACATTCTTGTCCTCAAACATAATCCATCTTTCATGCTCATGGTTGTAAGCAAAGCAGATGAAGTGAGGCCCATAGTAGCAAACCTAAATACAAGAGAGATATTAGTAAAAATGAAAAACGGGCCTTGGAACCCAAGGTCAAGTTTGCATGAAAATAATGAATACAAAACCGGCAACAGACAAAGGGTCAGCTGCTGTAGAAAACAAAGAAGACAATCTCAAAGAGAAAAGAATAAACGTTGATACCAATAGCAATTGTGGAATAGAAGCTAACAGTTTTGACAAGAGTAGGAGGAGCATGGTGTCCACCACTGTCCCACTTTGCCTAATTTAATGCAGTTAGACAGAGATGAATTTTATGTGCTTGGATGGTCGGAACTGTCATACATACATGGAGCAGGAGCTTTACAGTTTTGCTGAGAAATTAAGACAGTATGCCCCTTTCTAGATCCATTTTCTGTTATCCCTCCTCTTCTAGTTTCATGTTTTGATTTTGTAGAATCTGAATACTCTAATCTCTTTTGAGTTCCTTTTACACTTTCCGATATCACTATCATGTAAATTCCACAAAAGGGCAGCTAAACTGGATGCAAGCAATGTACATGAGAAACATGTGAAAGAGGCCAGTTACAAGACTCGATGCATATATATTGCTTGCATCCAGTCTCGTTACAAGCTCGTACATGAGCAACTGGTCTCTTTGATTCAAAAGTTAGTGGATCCAGCCCAAGAGGCTGTGAAAATAGCTTTAGCTTGAAAGGTGAATAACCAGACCTTAAGCTATTATAAATACAATATGAACTGTGGATGTATGGGGTGGAACCACCGTCTCTTAAGCTACTAAATGCTAAATATACGCAGTAGATGTACAAGGTGTAACCAGTTTTTCTGTTAAATATAGCCCTTTTTTTCCATTCAAGTGTCTTAAAGGTCATTTAAGCTAACATTCTCGCACCAAGAACTTAAAATTAGCACATCAATTTCGCTATTACTTCAAAGTTTCAAACAAAGAGTTAACTGTCAAAATGGGAACTTCAAAGAATGTGCATGCACATATGTGCACATTGAGATCTATCAGCAACATCCAAATATCATCGTTGTAATTAGGAAATCAAATTTTACGCTTCACAACAGAAGGGAGTACAATCAGATGAGGGGTGCAAGGAAGCAAAAGAAATCACATAGTAAATATAGCCAATTTTCTATGCAAAGATAAACAATATAATAGTTTTTGATATATATTTCTTAATTCAATAAGTCATAATGGAGAGAACAATATTTGTACTTCGAGAAAGTTTTATATTACATCTTAGTACAATGATGTTCCTTTGTTAATGCCGCAAAAAACAGAAATTAAAGACAAACAATTATTAATATCATTTAATAACTAAAGTCTGAATAAAAAACCTTACATCAACTCCTCTATATAGGGAAACCAAACCCCAAAACCAAGAAATAAATCTACAATAACCATCCAATCCCAAGATGATCCTCATCCTTAGTGCACTTCAGCAAAATGGTAGTCAACTGTAAGTGATCAAAGAGTTATGTTAGCTATACACCATTGTCTCCAGCCATGTTTATGCCACTTTGGCATCCATATCAACCCAAAACCTTGACTTGGGAAGCCAAGTGCAGAGACTAACATTACAAAAGACTATGTTCAATAGAAAAACCAGGGTGCCCCGTGAATTCTCAATAGCACAAGGCCAGGTACATGACGTATCCCTACATACTGATTCTCACACCTCAAGTTAGATTGGCACGCCATGGCCATCCACATCCTGGACAACATTACATAAACCTGTTTTCAAGCACCCAAACCCCCCCCCCCCAACCCCCCA